ACGGGTATTTGTATAATCACTTTATTCGTATTATTTAAAACTATAAACTTTGGAGAAACAGAAGCCATTTTGAAAACATAAAAACAATCAATTTCCTGATGCTCTTTCATTATTGTTTCTCAACTGAGTTAAAATATCTTTCTTGGCTTAGTAATAATTTATTTCAGATTGGGAAAAATTGTTAAATGGTAATTGGAATCTTATTTGATCTTTTACTCAGAATAGCCTGAAGTTTTAAAATATTACTCTAAGGTTTCCTACATACAGTAGGGTACAAGAGTAATATATTTTGGTAAACGTGAGATAAAGGTGTTTCAAATGCATACAGATACAAATGCATAAAGGTGTTTAAATCTGGCCCTAAATTAGTTATCTAATGTAACTATCATTTAGAATTATCTAAGAAAAATAGTTAATTGTATGCCAACTTGCAATAAAGGTAACACATTTATCCTTTTTTTGCCCTTTAGATCAGAATATATTTGCTTTTGTAGACGTAAGGAGACATGAATTGTTAAATTACTGGATTGAAAGTGCTAATTTAATCATCTAATTGGCTCAATATTCCCTAAAAGATCACTAATCTTCTAAACGCTTTCCCCTTATAAACTAATCTACTTAACCCTATCTAAAGGAGATGTCTACTTTCAAATTGCATGCACATGCATCAAAAAAGAAATAGGAAAACAAAATAAATGAATATGCTTAAAAAATGTCTAGCTAACCCACAAAACAGAGATACCTTCTAGAGCCAGGAGAGATTCCTAATGTGTATTCGGGTATATTTGAGTTCCAGAGTACATAGATATTCTTCTTTGTTTAGAAATAAAAAGAGTGAAACATAGACATAATATCCCAAAGTTTTCTTTTCACATCTAAGTCCTTAGCATTTCTAAAAGTCCACATGAAGTTTATTATTTCCTCTAAGCTCTAGGGAAATGCAATAATCCTTTTAGAATGTCAGTGTTTCAAGCCAAATGTATAATTTTGATATTTGGAAGATAATTTTCTGGGTAGCAAGAATGGGATCTTTCTTTCTTTGATATAATAGGCCATCTAGCAGGCTGTTCAGAAATAAATTCTGTATCCTTTCGGATCAAACCTGAGTCACCAATTTCATAGAGATGAAAACATTTTCCAAGTAGGAGAATTTCCAGTAAACTGAGCTTTATAAGATACCATCCTGGTTTTCAGACAGGTTAGACATAAATCAGTCATGTTCCTCAAGATACAACCATAAATAAAATCTATTGAAATCATGAGTATATTCAAAGTATTTTAAAATTCTGGAAAGTTGCATATGTTTCCACTGTCTCTAATGGCTATAGTATAAAACAAAATGTTGTTAAGACAATACTTTCAGTTTACACAAGAATTTTTTATTTGAGGCTCTTAATATGAAATGTGAAAACTATTTTAATATTTGACCTAGTTACTTAAATGGCAAAGGCATGTAGTGATATGATTTTCACACCTAATGCAATAACATAAATAGATTCTCTTACAAATTTTGTTCATGGATAACAAGAGAAGCTCTCTTTAAATCTGGCCCTAAATTAGTTATCTAATGTAACTATCATTTAGAATTATCTAAGAAAAATAGTTAATTGTATGTCAACCTAAGGGAACTCAAACCATAATTATAGTCTTGTCACCCTTACTGATAATTCTCAGAAAGATGACATTAAAATAACCATTGTTTAGAAGCATACACCTCTACCCAAAGAATGCAAAAGAACGTGTGAATACGTAAGTAGAGTCAGAAAGTTACAGGAAAATTAATCTTGGAATTTTACTTTGTATGTTTGGAAGATG